TAGTGTGCCATTAAATTAATTTGTAACAGGGTTTACTATAAATTAAATATTTTCTTGTACGAATAGGGCTGAAATAATAATAAAAAAAAAACAGTGTGATTAGGAGTTCCCCAAGTATTCATTTAAAAATTGTAATTGTCTAAAAAAAAAGAAAAAAAATAATATTTAAAAATATCTTTTAAAGTTGATATGTTAGCTTAGTAAGTAATAAAGTTTCTATGTTTCCGATTTTAGTATTAGGATGGACGAGAAAGTAACGTCCACTTGATGCATATGTTGTACTTTTTGTTAGATGATTTCGCAATATAATGTCATGATCGCTGTAAATTAGGTACGTCCATTTTTAATTTTTTTTTTTTTTGTTATTTATACACATGAAAATTAAAGCCTAATTTTTTTAATTATATCTACGTAAAGATTACGGCGATATGGGGATATTTTTGCAAAATTAAAATTTTCCTTTCCATTTATCTAACTTAGGATTAGCAATAAAATCGTGTTTGTATTGGTATGCTAAATATTTTTGCTTTGCTGTTTGTTATTTACCGCATTAAAAAGTGTGTCTAGAAAAGACTAGTAATTAAGAAACCGGTAAAAAAGAGTACGATAATTCCCGCAATAAGTCTAAGTACGTAACTGTTTTTTTTCTTGAAATTTGAAACTTAACTCAATTATCAATTGTTTTTAATGTTTTATTTTTTTTGGTTATCATAACATTTATTTTTATTTGAATTACAGGCGGTTAGCTGATGAGTGATGAACATATTATATTTGTAGTATAAAAGAAATATAGTACTTCCGCACGTGCACGTGTAGGTACATGTCATAAACACATTATTATTACACAAATATTAATAATTTTTTTTTTTTTTTTTGTCTAAAAGTATTAACATTTTATTAATCGCATTAATCATAATGTATTTATTCAACATAAAATTGTTAAAAATATTATTAAATTCAACATACGATTTAACCGAAAATGAATTTATTATATTTTTGACTAAAGCCGTATGAATTAATAAACATGAATACACAATGGTTAACGGAGCAAAACGTGAAGAAAAACAGGAAAACGTCAAGTGCAACTACTCACTGAAATCCAAAAATTATGCTATAAAACTAACCATTTTGTGGATGTTTGCGTTATATTATCGTGTAGGATCGTTATCGTTTTAAAATTCAGCCAAAAACAAATTAAGGCAAGGCAAGCAAATAAAAACATAGGTGGGCCTTTATCCATTTTGAATAAAATATGTTTAATGTGAGAGCCAGACTCCTCGGCTCCCTCCCCATGTACAAATAAACGAAAAATCGTGTGGATGACAAACAGAGTAATGTACGGCACGTGAAACTTTATACCCACTTAAATACATTTTAAATTAACATAATAATAATATAGTATAGGGAAAGTTGTACCCTAACGTGATACTCAACCGTCAAAAAACTGACGAGACGTGTCACGTGTCCTTGACAATCACCTACTTACAGAAATAGGATTTGATTTTTGGAATTTCTATTGTATAGTAGTATGTCGCATGATGTATTTGTAGATCAATGCCTTGTGATTTTGATTTTGCTATTGAATTATAATGATAATAATATTATACTACGAAATTATGAAATGTATGACAATAAAATAATAACTATTTGTGATATATAGGGAACGGATTTTAATTTAAATAAATATTTTTATGTAAAAGTTTTTGATATATGTGTACGTTCCATTTAATTTTAAATAAGTTGATGCTAATTTTATTTTAAATATTTTTATATATTTTACAAATAAATAATTAATAATTAAATATTTTGCATATAAATATGCTGCTATTAGTGCTATTTCAATAAAAAAAACAAACTATTGAACTCATCTAATGTAAAAACTTGCAAAACAATTTAGAATTTATTTCCATTAATTTTGGATTTTTAGTTGATACTATTTTAAAATAAGAAACTTCTAAAATGATATTAATCGAGGGCCTAGAAACAGCTGATAATACCATAAAATAATTAGATCGTGTTCCTAGAGATATTGAAGTTTTAACCAATTCAAAATTATAAAACATACTGGAAAAAAAAAACTAGAATTTAACGCTGTTATGTCGATAAGGGATATACTATTTAGCAAAACTTCAAAAAACAGTTTAGTAATAGATTAAAATCCAAAAGCATTAACGTGTATGAAATATGTAACTATCACATCAGTTGATGTGGAGAGATCATTTAGTCGTTATAAAGCAATGTAATGCTAAGATCGAATTGCCATCATTTTAGATTTTGAAATTTCAATTTATATGTCGTTTCTAGTATCACGCAAGCAGTCTGTCAGTGCACACGCATTTCTACGTCACTCCCGGATTATGTCCAGTTCTGTATCTTCTACCGAATAAAAAATTTTCTATTTTATTTCAGTCGACGTAAAACTTAGAACTCTTGCTATAAACTAGTAAGTTAATCAACCTTCGGGAAAAATACTTCTTCGAGTCAAGTAATATCATATATATTTTAATTTTAACACATTATAATCATAGTCCAAGCATTAATAAGAACACAGGCGCTGTTACACGCGGTGACCTTTAGACCCAGATAATATTGGCTTTTAAAAATGTACTTATCCCATCCGCCCAAAACGTTTGTTACCTAGGCCTACACCTTGACCGCCGACTAACTTGGATAACACACACCCATATCAAAAGACTTTCCTTAAATAATCATTCTCGCCTTCTACGTTATCTACTCACATCACAACATATCAACTTAAAAAACAAACTTCTCTTATATAAACTCCTACTCAAACCAATCAGGGCATATGGTATTCAATTATGGGGTGCAGCTAAACCGTCCAATCTAAACAAAATTCAAGTATTCCAATCAAAATGTCTCCATCAAATAACCAAAGCCCCATATTATGTATCTAACGACACTCTACATAGAGACCTAGCCATTCCAACAGTCCAAAACGTTGGAAAAACTTTCTACAAACGCTTACATTCTAAATTTCATAATCATCACAATCCCTTATTGATTTTCGAACTGTCCACTAAATCTGTTCTTGGTGATCCCAGAAGGTACGTTTGGTACTTGGTGTCGTGAACTGCTAAACTAAATTTACTATAATTCTTACTTTTCCTTGTTATCAATCTCATTCTCTCTTACTAATATTTTAAAAACAAACTCCTAACATTAAGTGCCTCCAATGGGTGGCTTCTTATCTCCTGTCTCTCAAGCCATGTTATTTATTATCTCCATCGCATACGCTTATTGTAAAATAATAATTACAGATTGTGTATTTAATAATAATTGTAAAAAAAAAAATAAAAAAAAAAATGTCGTTTCTAACTGTTTCTTTCACGAAGACTATTTGGTAGATTTAGAATAAAAATTGTGTATTATATAATGTATTAAATTAATTTGTATCATTTATAAATTATAGAGAATTCTATCTTATTTTTAATTTTATATTAAATTAAAATCTGTTCCTTACTGATATACTTTGAAACGGACAAAGGACAATGATGAGCCTCAGTTGCCTATCTAAGACGCCGTATCGTTATTTTATTAAAAATAAAAAACTATTGTTGAGGGTACATTATGATATCGAATAAAGTACCTATTTTAAAAAAATTAATTAATTTTTATTCGAAGTAATTTTCTTAAGATTTTTTAGACAAATTTATAAAATTGGTTTTCAATTCAATTTCAATGACAAATTAGGTATAATTTTTTTCGGATGTTTAATCGTAACATCTCGGTTTGCACGTGTCGAATGTCGCATTAATAATTCGGCGAAGGTCTAGTGAAAGCCCTGCTCGTTTTGACGATCGTCGGCGAGACGTTAATTATTATAATTTATAACAATATTACAGCGACGTGTGTCGTGATATGAACCGGAGACAGATATGACAACATATGTAGTTATTCGAAAACAAACCCGAGGCAACATTTTAACCTCGCCCAACACGAATCGCCTTTGACGCGTACAACCAAGACTGACACATCAAATTTTGTAATATAACGCACGCGAAAATACGGCGTCGTGAAACATACATTTACGTTTAAGGCCGGATTTAGGTTTTGTAGGCCGCTAGGCTCAACTGTGATGTGGGCTCCACCAGAAGGTTTTTAGAAAATAGGAAGGGCATATGTACAAATAGAGAGACTAAGCCACCTTTAAAACATTTAAAAATAATTTTATTCCCAAAATTGAGTATAATATTATTTTCTAACTTGTAGTTTTTTGCCCGAAAAAAATAACATTTAAAACATAGTATTAAAGTGTAGATTCTGCAATTACCACATATTATATACAGTATAGTTAAGATAGGTACCTACTCAACAATATGTATTAGTGTTGCAACGGTAGTAATTAAATGAACAACGTAATATCATATAATATAGCTTGATAAATTTACGTCTTGACTTTGTATTGATGAAATCACTTATACATTATAATATCTTCATAATTAATTATTTGTCTTAAAACGTGTGACGTCTGCAGGCGGAGGGCCCTGTTGTGGTGCGGGCTCACATATAGACATTGCAGCCTTTATAGCCTGCGCTTAAATCCGGTCCTGTTCACGTCTAACAAACGTTACGCCGTCGACTGTCGTCCGGTCTGGACGGACCAAACGTCAAATCACGTCCATACACCGAGTGTGCGGATATCCTGCGCAGCGCACTATCGGTGTCGCGATTTCGTTGAGCCCCGGCACTGTCGGTGCCACAACCGTCGTGGATTAACGGCCCCGCGATGAACTCGCGAGAGCGTGAGAGACGTGTGGGCACGGGTCACACCTCCCCCCCCACGAGGGCGCGGATCCCGCAACGACGGGTCTCTAATGAAGGTCACGGCACGCGGACGCAGGTGGCCGACCACCAACGCCCCCGCAGCCGCTACCCTCCCGTGCGATCATCCCCCGCGCGACGTGCTTCCCCTACGACAACGTGCAGCGTGGGAGCTTTATACCGCTTTTTTCCTCCGGGCAGTTCAGTCGTGTCGTCGCCGTCGCGCATCGCAGACGCGTGCTCCGTGCTCCGTGTGCCGTAGTGTTACGCCCGTCGCTGCTCGTCGTGGTCCGCGCCACGTTTACGTCGTCGCCTGATTTGTTGGATTTTTTTCAGTGTTTGTTTTTCGCGTTTCTCTTCGTGCGCTGTTCGCGTACGCATCCCTTGCCGATCGGTTTTTACCGCCAATTTCTCTCTCGATTGCGGTTCGTGAGCTCAGGTACCGACACGGTGTCCATCGCATTCCACTTCTGCTGCGGCTTGTGAGTACCTATATGTATATATTGTTTAAAATTTTAATTACCTACACGTTCGATTTGTGATGCCCATCACACCGTTGCACAGCAATAATTATTGTTACGGTTTAGAGATAACTCGCGGTTTAGTCGTATCTGTATATGAGCACATGCTATACCACACGGCTATACTCATGTGTGTATACACGAGTACCAGTATAATATCGAATTCATTCGATCACCGTGTTAGTGGTATCGGACATCGATGCACGTAAGAATATGGTCATTCTAAACTTATTCTAACAAACTCGCGTGGTTAACTGAAAAATAAAAGATGTGCTTCTAACAGAGTTAATGGGATGAGGCCTAGACAAATGTTAAGATAATATTAGATATTTTTTTAACCTTTTGGAAAATCAATCATACATATTAACGTCGTCTTCAACGCACACCAACACGATGTAAATAAACGATGAAACCATTGTACCCCGCGCGCTTTTTATTTTAAAAAACGAGTTGCCCTGCCGGTTATATATCTAATAATATAGGAACGAAGAAGTAATGTTTAATACCTAAAATGTCTATCTGAAAGAGTTCTCACGATGACACTATTGATTATTAGGTTTTAAGATATCATAGCATTTCATCACTGAAAAACATATTTTATATGTTAGCAACATGCCCATACGTGTGTATCTATTTGTCTTAATAAAAATCTCATCAGTCTTGCTGATGTTTTCATAAAACGAATTATACATGTGATTGTATTGATGTTAAATTATGCTCCTTTACTTTGTGTAAAAATGTTGTCTACAATTAAATTAAAAATAAGACTCGTTTTACTTTTTCGATTTGTGTATTATATATCAATCTAAGATAGACATAAAACAAATATCGTTATGTTATGAATTTAATTGACATGCACAAATTATAAATATGCCAACCTAACACGATTGTTTTTTCCATGCATAAAAAGAACAATTATAGATTTTGAGGTAATGGTTTCATATAAGTAAAGTTTTGTATTTTATAGGTAAAAGGATAATAGAAAAATACGAATGAAATTATTTGAATCGTATAGTAAAATATAAACTTAAAACATAACTTAATAAAATAACTTGTTGGTTTTCAATTAACTGTTGTTTGTTAGTTTAAACATTAACGTGCATACCTATATTCTATGTAATACTAATGACGTATTCTTTTCGTTACAATTAGCTATTATAGACTTAAAAGCAATACAAAATATATATGTTTTGGAATTAAAAAACTGAATTATCTGCAATCAATTATTTTCAATAAATTAATGGTTGACTAGAAATCGACATTGATTTTACTTTATTTATGCTCATACTCAATTGTAAACAAACAATTTGCAGCTAAAATTAAGTAGGTAATGCAACTAATATGATAACGTCACTAAATAAAACTTCTTTCTATGACTCTGGACTCAACTACACTAATACTAGATTTAAGATGTGCTTATTCAATTTGAATAAACGAGACAAGGATTTATGAAATTTTTAATTCATAGCTGCTTATTTAAATAATGGATTATAGTACAAGTAAGTTAGATAAACTTTTCGGGTGTTTAATATTTAATTTGATTTTTGTAAGTGAGTTTTATTGGGTTTTTTGAAAATATTATGTCAAGGATATTTTGAAAAAATCATTAAATATTAAACTTATTAAGCAATAAATACATTTTAAATAAACCAATTCCATTTTCAATATTGCTTGAGCACTCTTATAGTATTTATCTTTAAAATAGTTTAAGTAATAAATTATTTGGTAATTTATTATTTTTAGTTTTTTTACATTTTGTAAAATAATTTATTAATCATTTCCTTTCTAGTTTATGAGAATTCTAATGCAGTTTTAATAAAATATTCTGATGTAAAGAATAAAGTATTTTTATTTTTGAATATTTAATACCTAGCTCCATTGAAAGTATTACTTTTGATTACTGGTTGCTGGTAGATAATAATAATTATCAAAGTTTTTCATATTATTGAAGCTTACCATATCTAACCATATTAGAAATAATATCATAAATGCTGATACATATTATGATTATAGTTAGAACATAAATTATATTATTGAAAAATAATTTATAATTTTATTATTTGTTTAAAATAATGTTCATAGATTTTTTTGGTCGACAACTTAATAAGCTTTGAATAATTGTAAATCATATTTTCTGCGTACATTATATTGAATTTATCAGTATGTAAAATACGTTTTTCTACAAAATGTAATATTTTCTGAGTATCTATATAATAGTTTATAATCAAATTGAAAATTGAAAAGTATATATTTTTATTATACATAACTGTATCATGCTCAGTGTATTTAATCTTTATAAATTATTTTTTTAATTTTAAACGCATGCTGTAAAGACTCAATATTTATAGGTATTCATGTAAATATATGAAAATATTTTGATAATTCATGTGGTTATTTATCAGTTGAATTGACATAAACTTATATTTATATTATTATAATTAGTAAATTTGATAAAAAATTTTTTTTTCCTTTCCATTTTAATTATTTTAATAGCATTTTATTTTATTATCATCGGATTTTATCCACAAATGGAAAACATAAATATTACCTTTAAAATAATTTCCTTGTTTATGGATAACTCTTTTTGGACAAAGCTTTCTTGTATATTTGTTAAGAGTATCTATTGTTTTATTGTATTAGTTTTGTATGGACTGTAAACATTTGTATTTTTAAAAATTTTTTTTCAATAATAATAATAAAAATAATAATTTAAATTTAATACTCAACAATCTTTTTTTTATTGATTACTGTAAATTTAACATTAAGTTATGTATAAATTCTAAGAGTTGTTATTTTAGTTAAGCAGATTTCAGTTTATTTATTTAAGTTGTATGCCAGATTCCAAGCTATAATTATTATTCTAACTGCTATTAGATTTGGTTTTGTGGATTTGATTTAGTAAGAAGTAGTTGAAGTTTTTGTTTTTTGTTTTTTTTTTTTTTATAATAATTAAAAATATAATTAAAGAATTAAATAAATTTTTTAATTCAGCTTAATAATGTAATGTTACTTATTTTTATAAGTAAATTATATTTTTTAGTAATTTCTATTAATTTAGTGCGAAAAAATTATACAATTTAAAAATTTAAAATAAAGAGTACCTATTGTTTTCATGTAAATTTTCATATATAATATCTATATGTATTTTATACTATTTAATTCTACTTGAATATTTTTTAAACTGACGATTTCGACAAAATTACAATTTCGACATTATGCTTTCATTTTTATTTCACTTTGTATATTGTAATTAATTGTAAATATAATTTATTTTACATTCTTGACTCATCGTATTTTAATTTTAAACTATATTATTTGAATATAATTAGGTAATTATTGAAAGTCTTTGAATCATAAATAACATACTTGAATATATTAAAACTACCTATATAGTGTGTTACATAATGTAATGAAATCATATAGTCTACCTAATTATAATAGCTTTTGGACAATCTATACTTAGTACTGCACTTAAGAAAAATTAAAATTGTGTTCCTTTGTCGTAATTTAAACCATGATAGATGAGCCCGTATTATTGGTAAATGATTATTTTTGTCGGATAATTATCATTGTTTTGTTACGACAATACATAATATACACTACACACAGACAATTAGATATCTTATAGAATGGACTTGTACAGAAAATAATTCTGACGTTTTAAAGTTTTATTTGCTTAACATTCACACATATATTTTCACAAATATTATGATTTTGAATGATTCTCTATAAGTTATTATTTTAAAGTAATTTTTTACTGTCATAGTTTTAGATTATCTTAATTAAATTTTTTGACTGATATTTTTATAGATAGTGAACATTTTTAAAATATTGTCACTAACCACTCTTGACACCGACAAAATTGCGCATTTATCAATTTTTTTAAACGTTTATAACAATGGAAGATGTATTCCATTTATTTTTTTGGTGGAAATAAACGCCAAGCGAAGACAACATCTGGACTTTTAATACAATTTATTGGGATAACATGTTACATTCTCTCCCTTTGCAAACCACCAAATGTATTGTATTATAATTCGAAATAAAAATGGATACAATATTATACTACTGAATAGCTTTTGTTAAATGACAATGTTTTAGCTCACACAATTGTTGTGGTTGGCTAAGCTAACTATATACATTTCATCATCAAATAATTTATCTGATAGACTTTAAATAAAATTATAAAATTATATCAATTGCAGGTGTGATACTCATACATATTAGTTGTTATTTGATGTTTAACATTTCTGGTCATGACGAATTTAATAGGCATTTTTACTATACCCTTTGTATCCGTGTATATAATTTTTGATTAGAATAATAGTGATTGATATTGTATTTTTATTTAAAGATATTTAGAAAGATTTAGGAGAAAAGTTTGGAAATAAGCAATTGGTCCGTTTTCCTGATATTATATTGCTAGCACAAGTTTCGTTTGTTGTTTTTCCTCGCAGCTTTCCCATTATTCATTGTGTGTTGTTGTCTGTTTTAATTCTACAACCCGGTTTAGTAAGTATTAGGCCACAATACTACCAGACGTGTTTTACGTAAAAAGATTTATGAGTTGCAACTAATGTCAATCCAAATTAATCAATTTCGAAGAAAAGTTTCATGAAAAATGTTTACGTTAAATTAATAAACAGCTAATATAGTTACAATAGCTGAGGATTTCTAGGCATGTGTCAAATTGTACAGTGCACAGTACAAAGTATTGATAAATAATTCAATAGTTAGTATAATAGTAATAACCACGTTTTTGTAATAATGACTATAAAAACAAATATTTCATTGAATTTTCGATAGAAAGATTTTTCTTGGGGTTTTTAACATGTCTATAAAAAGTTTTAATAATTTTTTTTGTAGAAGTAATGTCACATTAAAGTTTGTTTTTCTGTTAGTAATTTATTCTTTTAATAATGATCACACAGTATCTTAAAATGTACTAGTTTTAGAAAAGA